TGAACATACCTCCAGTTTCCCAGGACATACATACAATGGGCGGCGTCACTTCCCTGTATGAAGGTGAGCTATAGGTTTCTCTGGTCAAAATGAAAGAGGAATTTTTACACAAAAGCAGATGTGAGCAGTACCCATGAGTATTTTGGAGACACAGTGTTTTGGGTTCTGTAAAGAATAAAGCGCATCCCTAAATGTTAATGCCTCAGGTGTCCTGTGTGAAAGAAGGATACATGCATAAGTGACAGAGACCTGTGATCGCCACAATCGAAGCACCAGTGAAGGAATTGGGGAAACTTGAATCACTCAGGAATAGAAGGGAAATTGTGGACAGTAAGCAGAGATTGAGGAGGTGCAGATGGGAGGCGGTCGGGGTCAGTTAAATGCAGTTTGAAGCCATTCCTGGGCACAGCCTGAGCAGGGAGAGTGAGATCCACACAGAGCTGCTATGTGGGGTCACTCTCAGTGCACAATGCAGCGTTCATCTCTGAGATGTCAGTGTTACTAAAGTGCACCTAGATAATCATCTAAAAAGATTGTGTCCTGGGGTGTTCTGAAGGTTCTAGATATTTGTGGAGGGGAAATGACCTGGAGATATGGGAAATTTAACTTGGTCTTATGGAAATGCTTGTCTGCCCAAGTTCATATCCCTTAGTGAGACAAGATCTAGATCAGCTGAGTGCTTGCATTGGCCTTCTGCCTGAGATAACCTACAATTCAGGATTGGCCAGAAGCCACCCCTGCTGGACCCCTGTCATCACCCTGACTGCAGCTTTCCATCTCCTCAAACTTCTCTCAAAATATCCCTAGTCTTTGCCCATGTTCCTGCTGTCTCAGCCGTCATACCAGTTCTCAGTGAGACCTACTCAGAGCCTCAGCTGTGAAATAGGGGTAATATTTGTGTCAAGAACATTATTAAAGAGTACATTAAATACATAAAACATCTGCAAAATTTCTGGGAAGTATTCACTCACCTTCTCACAGTTTCAATTAAGATATCTCCACACAATGATCATCAAAAAAAGATGTTCATGGAAATTCATTCAACGAAGACTGTAAACACCTCAGCCCAGGAATTGCTGTTTGAAACGATAAAATTCATGCCCTACCAGACAAATAAAATTATGAGAATGTGTATATTCAGAGATCTACATCTGAGAGCTAAACACAATAATTTTCCATTACCTGCAGCCACACATGAAAGTGTTAATCTGAGGCCACAGATAAAGTACAGAAGACAGAATGCATGTAGGGAAACATAACATCATAGGGAAATTAACCAAAATCTCTTAAATCTCACTGATTTTGGAATTTGAAGAGGACTGTGCAAGGTGACCAACTACGGTGATTATATACTTTTTAAAAAGGTGTGTCAGCTCTGCCTGAATGCTTTCCCTACACATCCTGTCCCCTACATACATAACCTTCACCTCAAAGTCCATAAGCCAGAGAGAGATCCAAAGACTAGCAGAACAGACTCCACAACTCAATAGAGAGAAGCTGCACCTGAATGGTTAGGAAGGTCAGAAAGGAAGACAGCTGCCTACAGAGAAGACAGAGAAAATGAGCTCTGACCCCAGGGAGCTCAAACAGGGAAGACTAATCCCCGTAACATTTGGCCTTCAAAACCAGAAGGGCTGAATTCCTTGAGTTTGGATCCTGGAGCTTAGGAGGTCAGCTGACTCAGCACTGGGTGATCCAGGAGGGTGAGTGATAGCCAGGACCCTGCCTGTGTGGAGAGGCAATGTAAACATGGCAGTTTACACTATGCCAGAGGCAACAAGAGATAGATATGTTCATGCTGATTTCTGAGTGATTGGGTGACTTCTCCAACAATGAGGGAGCTCACAGTCACCACTTTTCTACCCCACTCCCCAGAATAAGCACAAAAGCACCTACCAGGGTGTTGGGCTGCACCGACCCTTGCTACCTAACCCACTAGCAGTGCGGCTGTCCCAAGAGATCTCTGGGGGACTCACCCACTTGAAGCCTTCTGGGCTCAGTGCAAACTTTGTTAAAACCACATGGGAACCCCATCCAGCCTGCTGCATGCAAAGCTGCCACAGCATGTTATGCACATCTGCACCACACCCAGCTGCGCACTGCTGGCCACCTTCCTACGTCTCACCCAGCCACGTGTCCCCAGCCACCGATGCACTCTGTGCATAACCTCAAACTCTTGGATGTCCTGGTGCAGAGCTGCCAGCCAACAAAGAACAGCTACAGACTTGTCAATAGAATCTTGACAAGCCAGAAGCGAGTGATATGACCCATTCAAAGTGCTGAATGGAAAACTCATCAACCAAGAATACTCTGTGCAGCAAGGCTATCATTCAGAATAGAAGCAGATATAGGACTTTACCCAAGGGATACAGAAATGCTGAGGCATAGGAGCACATGTACCCCAATGTTCACAGCAGCACTCTCCACAATAGCTAAAACATGGAAAGAGCCTAAGTGTCCATCAACAGATGAATGGATCAAGAAGATGTGGCTTATCTATACCATGGAATACTACATGGCACTGAGAAAGAATGAAATCTGGCCATGTGTAGCAACATGGATGGACCTTGAGGGTGTTATGCTGAGCGAAATAAGGCAGAGAAGGACAAATATCATATGTTTGCACGTATAGGAGGATTAGGAGGAACTTGACGGAGGAACAAGGGGGAGAAGAAGGGCGGAAATGGTGGGAGAAAGGGAGAGAGGCAAACCATGAGAGACTCTTGAATGCTGACAAAAACTGAAGACTGATGGATGTGGGGAGGAGGGGGGGATGGGCATGGAGGAGGACACTTGTGGGGATGAGCACTGAGTGTTATGTGGAAACTAATTTGACAATAAACTATTTGTAAAAAAAAATTAAAAAAATTCAAAAAAAAATAGAAGCAGATATAGTTTCAAAAAAAAAAAAAAAAACAAACAGGGGCGCCTGGGTGGGTTAGTGGGTTAAGCGTCCGACTTTCGCTTAGGTCATGTACTCGCGGTTCATGGGTTCGAGCCCCGCATCAGGCTCTGTGCTGACTGCCAGCTCAGAGCCTGGAGCCTGTTTCAGTCCGTGACTCCCTCTCTCTCTGATCCTCCCCTGCTCACGCTGTCTCTCTCTCTCTCCTAGAAATAAATAAAACATTAAAAAAAAAAAGGAGTTTGACCACTAAATCATTCCAGCAAGAAATATTAACAGGGACTCTTTGAATGGAAAAAAGAAACCAAAAGTGACAAAAGAGAGGTGGAAAACTCAAAGCCAGTAAAAATAAATATTTCTGTAAAAATTCAGTCAAGAAATTGGCAAAAATGGATATATAATAACATGTACCAAACCATAAGGAGAAAATAAGGGGTTCAAAGGTAAATAACCATCATTTAATAAAAATAAAAATAAAAGCAATGAATTATATAAAAGTCTAATGGTGACCATATATCAAAAATCACAAATAAATATGCAAAGAATAAGGGGAAATAAATCAAAACATATCACTAAAGAAAATCAGAGGAGCCTGGGCCTTGAATCCAAACACTAAGCCTGGCTGGCACCATCTCCTGCGCCCTCAACTCAGCCCTTCGGGGAGATCACTGCCCTGCTGGCTGATTAGATTCTGAATCATCCTGGGACCTTACTCTAACCCTAACCCGAACCCTATACCTAAACCTCATTCCAAAAGTGACCCTACACCTGAGCCGCACAAGTGCATGGGCCCTCATTTCAGACCTCCAGGAACATCATGGGGCTGGCACCACTTCTGCCCTGGTGACTCCCATGGATGGAACCCAAACCCTAGCCAAGCCCCTCTCCCTGTGGGGACCCACTTCCTAGGACTCAGAAACCAGGGACAATGGGACCAGAAGCAGTGCACAATTACTCAGCATACAACATAGAACATCACCATGCCATTTCCAAGCATGGGTGGAGTTGCATTAAGGGTGTCCTGAGGCCCAACTCTAACCTAGCCCAAAGAGAATGCTGACTTTGGAACCCAAAGACCAAGCCAAAGGAGCATCCTCCCATGCGTCCTCAGCTGACCGGGTAGAGCACTGAACTGCTGGGGGTTCAGTGCCTGGAGCCTCCTGGGAATGAACCCTAACCCTAAGCCTAACACTGACCCTCACTCTAAACATAACCTTACAGCTGACACACAACCGTGAATACACCCCCACGTCAGCCCTCCAGGGAGATCACCGGACTGGTGTCTCTTCTGCCATGGTGACTCTCTTTGATGAAACCCTAACCCTAGCCAAGGTGCTCTTATCATGGGGATACAATTCCTAGGTCTAAGAACACCATGGGTACAGAAACGGTGCAGTCTTAATCATCAAAGAAAGTGGAACATCACCATGACATTAACAAAGGCAGGATCGAGGTGCACACGGGGTGTCCTGAGGCACAATGGTACTCTGGGCAACAGAGGAGGCTGGGCCTTGAACCCAAACACTGCTCCTGACTGGCAACTCCCCGTGCTCGCTCAACTCATTCCTCAGAGGGATAATGCACGGGTAGCTGATTAGATTCTGGATTGTCCTAGGAACTTACTCTAATGCTAACCCTAACCCTAAACATAACCCTAACCATACACATAACCCTCACTCAAAACGACACCCTACACCTGACTAGCAACCGAGTATGGGCCCTCATCTCAGGCCCCCGGGTAGATGATGGGGCTGGTGTCACTTCTGCCCTGCCAACTTCTCTGAATGGAACCCTTACCCTAGCCAAGGCACTCTCCCCTTTGGGACCCAATTTCTTGGTCTCAGAAAACCAGGGACATAGGGCCCAGAAGCAGTACATGCTTAATCCATATGGAACATCACCATGACATTTAAAAAGCCTGAATTGAGGTGAACAAGGGGTGTCCTGAGGCACAACAGTAGCCTGACCCGAGAGGAGGCAGAGCTTGAACCCAAATACTAAGCCTGACCAGCAACTTCCCATGCACCCTCGACTCACCCCTCCAGGGAGAATACTGCACTGTTGAGTGATCATTTCCTAGATCGTCCCCTGATCTTACTCTCATATTAACCCTAAACCTAAACCTAACCCTAACTTTACTCTTAACCTTCACTCTAAATGTGACCCTGCACATGAACTGCAGCCGTGCATGGACCCTCATTTCAGACCTCCGGGAAGATCATGGTATTGATATTAACTCTACCTTGGGTACACCACTGGAGGGAACCCTAACCCTAGTCAAGGCTCTCTCCCTGCGGAGACCCAATGTCCAGGTCTGAGAAAACCAGGACAGGGGGCCCAGAAGTGGTGAGGCTTAATCAGCATGGAACGTGGAACAATACCATGACATTAACAAAGACTGGATAGAGCTGCACAAGGGGTGGGGTGAGGCACCACCAAAGCCTTGCCCACCAAGGAGGCTGGGCCTTGAACCCAAACACTAAGCATGATCACCAACGTCCCTTGCGCTCTCAACACAACCCTATGGGGAAATAACTGCAATGCTGGCTGATTAGATCCTGGATTGTTCTGGGATCTTACACCAACCCTAACCCGTAAATCTAACTGTTAATTGTACACCTAGCACTCACTCTAAACGTGACACTACATGGAAGCCACATGCCTGTGTGGGTCCTCATTTCAGCCCTCCAGGGAGATCACGGGGATTGTGTCATTTCTGCCCTGGCGACTCCCCTGGATGGAACCGTAACCCTAGCCAGGCTGTCTCTCATGGGGAATCAATTTCTTGGTCTCAGAAAAACAGAAACATGGGGCCCAGAAGTGGTGCAGAATTATTCGGCATGGAACTTGGAGGATCACCATGCCTTTTCCAAGCCTGGATGGAGCTGCATTAGGGGTGTCCTGAGGTCCAAGTGTAACCTAGCCCAAGGAGAAGGCTTGCCTTGGAACCCAAAGTCTAAGCCAGATGACATCCTCCCATGTGCCCTCAACTCAGCCCTAAGGGTAGAGGAATGCACTGCTGCGATTTCAGCGCCTGGAGTCACCTGGGGTCCAAACCCTCACCCAAAGGCTAACCCTAACCCTAAACCTAACACCCACTCTAACCATAAACTTACAGCTGACCCACACTGGCACATGCACCCTCATTTCAGACCTCCAGGGAGATCA